AGCAGAGTTATTAACGGTTATAACTGGAACTTTAGCACCAATAACAAGATAAAAATAAATGTTGCTGTTATTGCCATTATTACTAATACTGATCTGAACATTCAGCTCTATGTTCGCTATTTATGAGGTTCAACGCAATTTCTGGATCTGAGTTTTTCCCTATCTTCCTGCAAGAGCTTTTTCATTTTAGTGGCAACACGAAGAGTCTGGAGTTGGCCAAGTGAGAAAGTTGACCACAAACAATATTCCAGCAAAACAAACTTACAAATAAAGTTATGAGCGAACTCTAAGAAAAAAAAGAAAGAGCAAGAACTTTGCCAAAAGGAAAGTTCTAGTTTTTTTCTGAATCAGAAGACACGCCTCTTTTTCTTATTCTACCTTTAATTTTCTTGAAACAATTTTTTCCTGCGTCTGGTCTAAAAAACTTAGAAACTTACAAATCCTTGTTACTGCCAACTTATTGTAATAATAGCAGTAATGAATATGCCAGATACCATATTCTCCACACACACACACACACACAAAAAAAAAAAAAAAGACCCATCCAGCAACCATTCATCAAACTGACATATAAACAGAACTCTGTCTTCTCAGACAATATTCCTCCGTTACTCAAAATCCCTCCCTACAATATTAACCCCACTTCTCCCTTCCCTTTATTATTTCTCACAAAATATCCCTGTCACCTACACAAATCCTACAAATATATGCCCGGAAATAAAAGCAATGAATAAAACTTTGGAGAGATGAAAGTATATCACAAGTATTTAATGTAAGAGCACACAGAAGCAGTTCTAGACATCATCGCAGATACGAAGAAAAGCTAAACGGTATGATTCCCATTTAATTTTCCCAATGAATATTTAATGTTAGGAGGGAAGCTGACAATGGATGGGATAATGAATGTTACGAAAAAAGTGTTACTACTTTAATCTGAAGATTTCTCATATTAAATATAATTCAATTACAAAGGGAGCTCCTAGTGTTTGGGGCTCTTTTCTGTAATCTACAGTCAAATAGCAAAAGTTCCAGGAAAGAATATAACAGAAACAATCCCCATAAAATAAATAAAATTAGTCAAATTAGGAGTCGGTAAACAACAAAGGTTAAACTAATGATAGGAGAATTGTGACCGAAAACTGTGTCAGGAGACGTGGAGGAGCGGGCTGCTTCAGTCACTACTTCAGATCTGTCTATGACAAGATGATAAGGAACCATTAGAGATTTTGAGAGAAAATTTCAAGACACTTTAATCAGAAAAACCTTATACGACGTTTCATCCACACTGAAGCTTTATCGAGGAGGGTGAAACATTGTATAATAAAAGGTTTCTTGATAAAGTTGTCTTTGAAACTGATAATTGTCAGGTTATGCCATTGTCTGTCATGGAGATTAAAAAAAAAAATATTAGACAGCGAGACTGAACCTTATTTTTACTTCCATCGAGACAGAAAATCAAATACGGAATATTGCAGGAAGCGAGTGATCACTTTGTGGTCAAATTCCTCCACCCGGCGAAAATGAAAACCGTAGAACAGGAAAAATGTGACACAAACACACACACACACGCTCAACACATAGCTTTAAAAGGTTCTATAGAGGTCTCTAAACCAGGAGAGTGAACTCAATAGCAAGCCAGCGAAGAGACGGGGCCAAGAGATGAGAATCGATCTCTGCAACAATATACAGGCGAGTACACATACTAATACATTCACGAGACAATAGAACGCTTAGCCAAAAAAAAAAAAAAATGCTACGAGACAACAAAGATTAATATTCATCAGGAGAAGAAATAAGAAATACAGAAAGTCCGTGGTTTAACCAGAACTGCTGGGAAAGCAAAGCAATTTGCAAGAGAACATGGAAAATGTACGGTACATGGATGATGCTAGAGGACAGGGAAAATTATGAAGAGATCTAATGAATACGCAAGGAAAGGAAATACAAATGTAAAGAAAAAGAATAAACCAAGGGAAGATTTGGACAATTAGTAAGATTACTAGTTTTAAACCAGCAAATTTAATATTTAAATCTGGGAAGGCAGAAACAAATTAAACTTTTAAATCTGTGAAGGTAGAGAAGAGAAAACCATTGTAGACGCTCGGTCCTGGGAGCTTTATCACTTACAATACATATCAAGTTAGAGTTGCATTCATTACCATTTCTTTGTTTCGGAATACCCGAAACAGACTAAAGAGTGAAAGGTGAGGAACTCCACATCGAACAAGCAGGAAGACCTAGGATAAATATCACATCTAACATCTTCCTTCATATGTTCTCCCGTCGGCCTCCTGAATCCCATGAATTAAAACTGATCTCTCCCTCTCCTCTTCCCACCGTTTTTCCTTCCGCATCTCTGGGTCCGAATTAAGCATCACCACTGCTGTGTGTGTGTGTGTGTGTGTGTGTGTGTACGTACTCGCCTAATTGTCGTTGTAGGAGCAGATCTTCAGCTCCTGGCCTCGCCTCCCTGCTGGCCGCTACTGGCTTCTCTCCTGGCTACCTGAGCCCTGTTATACACATTTCTTAAAGCTATGTAAGGATTCCACCTCTATCATTTCACTGTCTAGGTTGTTCCACTACCTGACCACTCGAAGGCTCAAGAAATATTTCCTAACATCCCAATTGCTCGTCTGTGCGTTTAACATCTAGCTATGATCCTGTGCACCTGAGCCCCGCCTTTTAAACAGACTATATCTGTTCACCCTGCCCGTTCCTCTCAGTATTTTGTACGTCGTAATCATGTTACCTCTCGTTCTTCTGTTTTTTAATATCAGGTTCAGCTCCTCTAGCCTTTACTCGTAGCTCATACCCCTCAGTTGTGAAACTAATTTCGTTGCAAACATTTGTACTTTTTTTCAGTTTCCTTACCAGATGCGGGTTCCATACTAACGCTGCATGCTCCAAGATTGGCGTGTCATAAGTCGTCAATACCTCCTTGTTGATGTTCCTGTAAACTATGCTCATCCCAAGGTCCTTTTTCAGGAAGGTTTACAGCCTTTGTTCCCCGAGCCTGTACACTGTTTCAGTACGTCTTTGCCTTTCTCCGATTTTCATAACTTAGCATTTGCTAAGTTATGCGTGTGATCGTGCGTGCTTGCGTGCGCGCACACGCAAGCACGGTCAAACATTTCGCTCCTGCGAAATGTTTGACCGGAGTATTAAGGGGAGGTGCGTAGCAGGAATGTATACCTTTAAAGAAAACTGAAGGACAGGTATGGTGCAGCATTAATGGAAAAATGTGTGGTATGAATACTTATCTGAATCATACGATTATGTGCATCCAGCAAGGTGTCATCCTGTTTAACATGTAACAGTGAGTGTTTCAGAAAACAACAGTGTGTACAAGATAGGAGTGTACTAAAACACAGTGTTAATCCCTTTAGTTACGAAGGTAAAGTGTTGCTCAGATGACGAATAACGTGGAGGGTAGACTAATAAAAAATACAATTTGATAATCGACAGACTATGACATCATTGGGCGTCCAAGACAGTGGTTGTCGCGAGGAAATCTGCATATTTTGAACATTTCATGAGCGCCGTATGATTAATAAAATATATTTCCCAAACAAAGGCCTGCAAATAAAAACAGAGCATCATATAAGTTCAACGTACAGGCAAGATGCCAGGATAGATAATAACATACTATTAACTGGACTAGATGGGCTGTATATCGCAGAATAGAAAAAGTTGACAAAAAAAAAAAAAAAATACGTTACTGGAACAATTCATAATCCAGCCTTAAAATTGGTTTCACACGTCATCCAAATTCATTTCTAGTTTATGGGCTAGTTGTAAATGAAAATAAACTATTAGTCACTATGAATTGTAGACCATAAACACTTAATAACATTTCATAAGTTTCTTTACAGCATATTAGACTGATGCTAGATTGAAATGTCCGCACTTAACGATGTAAATGACGTTACTCTTTTTATCTCCATTTTAACTAGCGAGCATTCGCTTTCCAAGCAAATACTGTCAATCCAGACGGATCACGAACATATGTGGCAGCGACCGCAATATAATTTGTCATTATTCGTAAAAACTTATGACTACTTTTAGAGAGGAACTTGTATCACTGAGATGAAGATGATGCAGCAACTCCACAAAACAGACACAAGCCATCAGAAGAGACGACAATTCTGGTTAACTTGTAAAGAACTTGTGATATCCACACGGAAGTTCGTCACAGCAAACTCGTAAAACAACTGGAAGAAATGTCTGAACAAATTCAATACATCTTGAGGCAAAACGTGAAGTTCTGAGGTGTAACTCTCGCGCTGATAACTCCCGAGTATTTTTTCTTTGACACACATACTCAAGTTGCGTGCGTGCGTGTGTGTGTGTGTGTGTGTGTGTGTGTGTGTGTGTGTGTGTGTGTGTGTGTGTGTGTGTGTGTGTGTGTGTGTGTGTGTTTGTGTGTGTGTATTAAATGTGTGCTCAGTGTTTCGGGATTAACTGTGCTGAACAAAAGTTTGGCAGGTCTATATATGTCCACAAAGATTTCCGAAAATGCTACCCATTTCATATAATTATATCCACAAGCAAAAGAGGTTTATAGTTCAACAGATGATTCTCGATCATGCTTCACCCCGCCCACATGCTGACACGTCCTCAGGTGTTCTTGCTTTCCTGCTGCTTAACCTGACCATCACTTGATTTGGTTTTACTTTTCTTACGTGTACTTTGATCAAATATACTTTCTTGTAACCAGTGCATGATACTGACTGAAGCTACAGAATCGAAACTTTTCCTATTAAATATTTTAAGTGTTACCGCACGTGCTTCTTTTTTCTCTTCTTGTGAGCACCATATACCAGGTTTATACAATATTAACAAATCTAATAGTATAAACCAGCGTAATAATTTGGAGTCTACTAGTAGAGGACTTGTATATTATCAAGCGTCCAACATTTTGGCTTATGATGCCGAGGTGAACTTGCCAGCACTCACTCACATATAACTCAAGTTGAAAAAGATGACAATAATCAACTCACACATTACTCTGAGATTGACGGGTTGACTCTCTCCCTCGCCCTCCAGGTTGACAGCAGCGCAGGTGTATAGTCCAGCGGCCTCCCTCGTGATCTTCTGCAGTACCAGCGTCTGGTTCTGCAGGATGATGCCCCGAGTGACGCGGTGCTCCACAGGCACTCCCTGGGTGAGATACGAAGTGATACTAGGAGCGCGCTTGGCCTAGCCATTAGTAAGGATCCCCCATGACGAGAGTTTACGTTGTTACTAGTTGGGAAAGAATGTGATGACAGGAGCTCCCTGTTGAGATAAACATTAATTAAAGCCCATTAGAGAAATATACGCTAACGAAGGCTCTGGGCCACCATGGCTATCTACGAATGACCACTGGAGCAAACAAAAATTGGCTAGGATTTCTGTTCACAGTATGCTCTTCACGAATAATGATAATTTGATTAAAAAGGCTTGATGAAGTAGACTAGTGATATTTATATTTATGGGCTTCAAGAGACATACACAGATTAGTGAAGACCCTGGAGAAGAATCTGATTGGTAAAAACGCTATGAAAGAAGCGGATTATTGGCAGCCATTGGTGATGATACGTCAAGTTTGGAGTGTCCTAGTTGACGTAGTGTTTCACGTGAATTTTCCTGTAAATATGGGAAGAAAGCTAGAAGGAAACCTTGTGGTGCGTAACAAAAAATCAGAGAACCCCTGGAAAATGTAATTCGTTACACGAGACGAGATAAGAATAAATAGGGTTAGAAGCTCTCTCTCAACACCTCTCGGTACACTGTTGGCAGTGAAAATGAGACCTAGAATGCAGTATACAAAAATTGCATGGAAATTTGTAGAGAAAGGATGACTATTAAACTGAACCCTGTTACCAGTAACAATAATTTCTCACAGTCATCATAATTACCGTAATGACAGGTGTCACTTGACATTTTGATTAGTGTCCCTTCTTATCTCAGTGCACAAAAGGAATACAGCAGTATTCATTATATTTACTGTTTATTTGAAAGAAAATCGTATTTGCTTAAAGCTGTTAAGCTAAGTATTTACATGCTCTTGCATTTATAAGATAAGATAACCCAGGAAAGTCAGTGCGTCATCGAGGACTATCTAACTTATTTCCATTGTGGTCCTCAATCTTGTCCCCCAGGATGCGACCGACACCAGTCGACTAACACCCAGGTACCTATTTGCTGCTGCTAGGTGAATAGGACAGCAGGTGTAAGGAAAGGTGTGGAAATGTTTTCACCCACCGGAAATCGAACCCGGGCCCTCCGTGTATGAAGCTTTAGCCACCAGGCCACCGGTCCTGATGGCCTGAAGTGTACCAAAAACCTCAGCCAAAAAACCTTACATATTTTCGTAAAGGCGTTTTACTCCTAATTATCATACAAATATTTCTCATTGATAAATAATACTAATACTAATAATTTATATGGCACTGAGATTTATGATTCTTCTTTCTGTTATCTGATATGCATATGTCCGCACTGTTTACACAAATAACCCGCACATAAAAGAGAGAAGCTTACGACGACGTTTCGGTCCGACTTGGACCATTGACAAAGTCACACTAGTGTGACTTTGTCATTGGTCCAAGTCGGACCGAAACGTCGTCGTAAGCTTCTCTCTTTTATGTGCGGGTTATTTGTGTATCGTTCCAGTCACGGTATTGTGCCTTTTTGTTATTTATTTCCGCACTGTTTACTTGTTTATTTTTGCATGTAGTTCTGATTGTTCCATTTTCTAAAAGTTTTCCATGTTTTGTAGCTTCAGTATTTTTTTTTTTAAATTCCGGTTTCTGTGTCTTAGCTAAACTTTACACCTACTTCCTTTCTCAGTGCCATCTTTTAGGGAAATGATTGCTGCGTATCTCTCCCTGCCTAGCTCTCTCTCTCTCTCTCCCTCTCTCTCTCACTGCCACACACACACACACACACACACACACGGGACCAGGAGCTATGGCTCGACCCCTGCAACCACAAGTAGGTGAGTACACACACACACACACACACAGAGCTAAACCTAGTTACTGATGACATGATTACGATGTATAAAACACAGAGGTTGACAAGGTGGACGACGGGAAGCGTGTTTGAGAGGTCACAGCTGTAAGTTAAAAGCATAGATGAGTTATTAAGTGGAACGACCTAAACCATCTAAGCGGTAGATACAGAATCCATACATAGCTCTAAGAATCGGTATGAGAGGGCTCACGCAGTCTCAAGATATTGAAACCCAGAGGCCAGGAGAGAGGCTGGGCCTGGAAATGAGAATCGACTCCTGCAACCACAATCAGGCAGGTACACACATTACCAAGGCTCTTGCAGTTGCCTCAGTTCCTCGCTTCTTTTGTTACTGATATTGCTTCATGTTTCCTCCTACCTCTCCGACGTCACTTTAGCCACGTCTCTTCCTATTCCCTCACCGTAACCCGCAGGATGCCACACTTCCTCAAGCACTGTTTCATTCAACCACCCGTAAACCTTATTTGACACTGGTAAATCTCACTTTCTTTGCGCAATCCAAGTCAATAAACTACTATGCATATGTAGTGTTCCCCTGAAATGTGTTTCTGTGATGGATACGCGAAGAATGGTTTGTAGATGAAAATTTGGAACAGTAATATGAAGTGACTGACCTTTGTGATTTTTTAATTGTTCTTTGACTGTGGTTTCTTTGGCATTCAATATAATTATCTCCTACCTGGTTTCTTCCCACTTAATCCATTAAACATATACCTGTAATATTTTTAAACTTAATGGCTAAACAAATACGGATCTGAATCACTGCTTACTTCTAAGATTTCTATCTCGTACACTCAGCTTCATCTCTAATCTCCTTTGAGTCGCTGACCATCATGTGTTAACGTGAACTTAAGGCCGAGTCAGAGTAAATTAAGCCAAACGTATCCCATATTTCCGTCAAATTTCTAACTTATCAACATCTTTCAGTGGTATGAAGTCACATCATCCTGAGCAACTCGTTCCCACTCGCCTCTCCAGCGTATCCAGGGGATCAGAGCTTCTCACCCACATTCTTTACTCCTCTGTGGTTGGTTGCCTCGCTCTTTAGTAATTCCTGACATTTAGATAATTTCTGATATCATTATTGTTTCCTGTTGATTCCCTACTTGTTATATGTTGATTTCCGGATTACTGTGTTGATTCCTGTTAAAACTGGTCCACGACTTCAGTCAGCTATTGTTGTACTTTACAAATAACATTTAGGTCCAGAAAGTTTGATTTACCGAGGTGTTTCAGCTACCTGGAAGTCTTCCCTAAAATCTGCATGTGTATTTTTAATGCGTCGACGGCTCACCGTTAATGACTACCTCGGTTAGCAATTTACATAATGAGAAGGATATATAACATATCAGAGGGGGCGCCCTGCTTCAGACATACGGGATGCCAAGTCAGCATGTTTTGGAAGTGTAGATATGCAGTGTTCGAAGTCTTGTTATAAATAAATAAAATAAATAAGAACCTTGCAAGGCGATTTATCTCTCTCCTTGACCAGGGTCTGTCATTTCAGCAAAACTTCGAACACCGGAAAGATGTTGATGTTTCTGTCGTGAACATGACCAGTTAAATCTAGGTTCCTCAAAACGGCAGTTACACTCTGGAAGTTTCCTTCAAGATCATCACTTCATCTGCGACCATTCATTTCTAGAATGAATTCAGTCTAGGACATAGTCGCAAAACATTCAGACATTAAAGAATTAACACACCAACTTCCAACCTAACTCGGTTGTACGTTTTATCTTTCATTATTTTAAAGATTCTAAAAGTTAATTTAGGAAAGATTTTTGTATGATCAGAAGTAATAGCTTGTAGCCCATCAATAAGTGTATTTGGTGTGACATTTCAAGTAGACAGTAGCTTTGACTCTGTTACTTACCCTTTGCTATTTTATAAATGTGAGTATTTTTTATTTACTCTCACTAACATATTTTAAATTGAGTAACCTCTGTACTCATTAAAACACCAAAAAGCTTATAAATGAAATTAAGCATCGTTCTACATAAACTTATTTTGGAAAAATTATATTTTGCATTATTGATTTACTCTATGTGCCTTTGCATAATTAGAATTGTGCTTGAAACTTTATGAAAATCAAATATAAATGCTATTAAAACCTGAGATGTATGACTGCCTCTGAATATCAGGGAGCTTCACTGATCGTTAGATATTAGACCACAAACGCGACCGTCTATAACAAGGAAAGTTTTCTCGTTAAACAAATTCATGTTGCATATAAAGAATTTAAGGAAATACATATTAGTCTGCATTATGCATTAAAAACTGTCTATGAATAATATGAAAACTTACACAACTGGCACGCCTCAGGATACAGAATATGTTATCCATAATTTAAATTTCTTGATGATGGTGATGAATGACCATATACGAGCACAGGTAATATATAAGAATAAGGCACAAAAAATACAAATATATATAATTCCTTTGATTCAGTTATGATAAGTTTCAGTATCTATAAAAAATGCTGTATCTTTTGTCTCCGTACATAGGCTAATTTTCAATTCCCTTTATGAAGATCCTGCTTTAGCAGGCTCTACATAAAGGGAATTGAAAAGAGGAAGAACCTGCTTTAGTAGGATCTTCCTCTGATTTTCATCATTTGGTATTCCTTTCTGTTCTCTAACCTTTTGGTTTCTTTCCATTTCTTCAGCCAGTTGCCACTCCCTCTTACTGTCTTAGGTGCTCGCCCATCTCCCTGGACGACCCAAGTACTACATCACTGACAAAAAGTTTATACTCACATTATGAAACCAGAAGACTCTATGCACCACGGGATTAGCGTTAATGTGACATTCAAAGTAAACATCGTCGGCTTCCTTGATGTTGTCTGGGTTGAGGTTACTTCCCATCTGTAGCGTCACCACTGGCTTGTCTGTCCACGCACACAGAAATATTTAATTAATATAAATATTATAAAGTATTAATATTAGTATAACAATAATAATTATTATTATAATTATTAAAATAACAATAATAAGGAAGGAGGCCCCACTGCTGTACACAAATACCCAACAGGTGAAGTAAATTTATGACTTCTGTGGAAACCATGGGAATTGGCGAAAAACTAATAAGGCCAAAATTGCGTTTTAGTTGCACTGATAGGAACACGCGCGCGCTTGTGTGTGTGTGTGTGTGTGTGTGTGTGTGTGTGTGTGTGTGTGTGTGTACACTCGCCCAATTGTACTCAACCAATTGTGGTTGCAAAGGTCGAGTCATGTGTGTGTATTCACCTAGTTGCACTCACCTAGTTGTGGTTACAGGCGTCGAGTCACAGCTCCTGGCCCCGCCTCTTCACTGTCGCTACTTAGGTCACTCTCCCTGTTCCATGAGCATCATACCTCTTCTTAAAGCTATGTATGGAGCCTGCCTCCACTACATCACTTTCTAAACTATTCCACTTCCTGACAACTCTCTGAAGAAATACTTCCTAACATCCCTGTAACTCATCTGAGTCTAACATGACTCAAGAAATCGTTATGACACGATTGCAAACAAACCATACCCCCGGCCGGGATTGAACCCGCGGTCATAGAGTCTCAAAACTCCAGCCCGTCGCGTTAGCCACTAGACCAGCTAGCCACAATAAGATTCATCCAACTAGGTATATTTCTACACCATAGGAAGGTTAGCACAGGCACCTCTGTGACCACAAATGCAAGTTTTTACAGACGAATCTCCAGCTAGCGTGGCCGTGACGAACTCTAGCTCAAGTCCCTTCACTGCCGTCAACATGACTCAAGAAATCGTAATGACACGATTGCAAACAAACCATACCCCGGCCGGGATTGAACCGCGGTCATAGAGTCTCAAAACTCCAGCCCGTCGCGTTAGCCACTAGACCAGCTAGCCACAATAAGATTCATCCAACTAGGTATATTTCTACACCATAGGAAGGTTAGCACAGGCACCTCTGTGACCACAAATGCAAGTTTTTACAGACGAATCTCCAGCTAGCGTGGCCGTGACGAACTCTAGCTCAAGTCCCTTCACTGCCGTCAACATGACTCAAGAAATCGTAATGACACGATTGCAAACAAACCATACCCCGGCCGGGATTGAACCCGCGGTCATAGAGTCTCAAAACTCCAGCCCGTCGCGTTAGCCACTAGACCAGCTAGCCACAATAAGATTCATCCAACTAGGTATATTTCTACACCATAGGAAGGTTAGCACAGGCACCTCTGTGACCACAAATGCAAGTTTTTACAGACGAATCTCCAGCTAGCGTGGCCGTGACGAACTCTAGCTCAAGTCCCTTCACTGCCGTCAACATGACTCAAGAAATCGTAATGACACGATTGCAAACAAACCATACCCCCGGCCGGGATTGAACCCGCGGTCATAGAGTCTCAAAACTCCAGCCCGTCGCGTTAGCCACTAGACCAGCTAGCCACAATAAGATTCATCCAACTAGGTATATTTCTACACCATAGGAAGGTTAGCACAGGCACCTCTGTGACCACAAATGCAATTTTTACAGACGAATCTCCAGCTAGCGTGGCCGTGACGAACTCTAGCTCAAGTCCCTTCACTGCCGTCAACATGACTCAAGAAATCGTAATGACACGATTGCAAACAAACCATACCCCCGGCCGGGATTGAACCCGCGGTCATAGAGTCTCAAAACTCCAGCCCGTCGCGTTAGCCATTAGACCACTATGGTGTAGAAATATACCTAGTTGGATGAATCTTATTGTGGCTAGCTGGTCTAGTGGCTAACGCGACGGGCTGGAGTTTTGAGACTCTGTGACCGCGGGTTCAATCCCGGCCGGGGGTATGGTTTGTTTGCTATCGTGTCATTACGATTTCTTGAGTCATGTTGACGGCAGTGAAGGGACTTGAGCTAGAGTTCGTCACGGCCACGCTAGCTGGAGATTCGTCTGTAAAAACTTGCATTTGTGGTCACAGAGGTGCCTGTGCTAACCTTCCTATGGTGTAGAAATATACCTAGTTGGATGAATCTTATTGTGGCTAGCTGGTTTAGTGGCTAACGCGACGGGCTGGAGTTTTGAGACTCTATGACCGCGGGTTCAATCCCGGCCGGGGGTATGGTTCATCTGAGTCTAACTTTTAACTGTGACCCCTTGTTGCTGTGTCCCCTCTCTGGAACATTCTGTCTGTCCACCTTGTCGATTCCTCTCAGTATTTTACATGTTATCATGTACCCTTATCCCCCCTGTCCTCCAGTGTCGTCAGGCTGATTTTTTTTAATCTATCCCTTAACTCCGGGACTAGTCTTGTTGCAAACCATTGCACTTTCTCTAATTTCTTGACGTGCTTCACCAGGTGTGGGTTCTGTACTAGTGCTGCATACTGCAATATGGGCCTGACGTACACGTTGTGCAGAGTCTTGAACGATTCCTTACCTATTCTTAGGTTTACCAGGCGCCTATATGCTGCAGCAGTTATTTGGTTTATGTGCCCCTCATATGTTTCTCCATTCCTATAATTTGTTTGCCTTTCTTTTGCCTAGGTGGGTTCTATCCTATGGATTTTTTGCGCTGGGTTTTTGCCCTACCCTCGTGAGCTTACCTCCCCCTCCCCCAGCAACAGCCTGTCTGACAGACCTACAAAGAGAGGGCAGCACACATTGTGTATCTTACAGTTAAGGCCCTGAGGACGTTACTGTTGATCATGGCCGCCTCTGCCTCTATAAAGATGCTGAACCCCCTTTCCCAATCATCCGACCTTCACTCAAATGACAACTTTTATCTTTTCAAAATTCGTGTACACCAGTGTTAAAGAAAAGACTCATGTTAACCCACTGAAACCAAATTCTGGAATGATCTATATAAAATTAATCAGGCAGCACCGGGAATGCTGATACTTGTATGAATCTTTTTATAGTTGCAGCCTTGAAAGAATAAACAATCAATTCAGGCAGCTACTGGAAGGGACATCTTGGGGATACATATTAATAATAATAATAATAATAATAATAATAATAATAATATCTATTATTCTATTCCAATAGATATTATTAGAAGTACTTTTAGTAGTAGTAGTAGTAGTAGTGATGGTAGTAGTAGTAGTAGTAGCAGTGGTAATAACCGTAGTAGTAATAATAATAGTAGAATAAATTGAAAGGAATTATAAAACTTTGCAGTGCATCAAGAATCAAGATCAAGTAAAAACTAAAATTTCTTCAGTAAAATAAAGATATGCTATGTAGAAACAAATAAAAGTGAACAACGTAGCATAAACCACAACTAAAAACAATAACGGCAAAAAGTTTTTTCCATAAATTGCATCAATGCGCGAGGAATCCAGACTGGGAGTCAAAAACACCACCGTCCTTCGTGGCAGGAAAAGTTACTATGGGTTCGTGACCAGCAGTCCGTAAGGCGGAGATTATGGTATAGTGAACTGCATATCAGGGGTTTTGTAGAGTGGAGAGAGGGAAGCGTGGAGTGAAGCTGGCATATAGGGAACTGTCGAGGGAGGCAGTGTGTGATGCCATGGTTGGGGGAAGGGTTCCAAGGAAGAGGGAAAGACCGAGGCACGGAAGAGTGGGAATGATATTGAGAAGTGGAGCTGAGTGAAATTTATGTAAAGTTGAAGAGGAAGAATAGGGAAATATGGGTGAAGGGAAGAATATAGAGGAGTTTGAGGTGGATGGAGGAAAAGCAGGAAGGAGGGTGAGATAAGAATAGGGAGAAAGTGGAAGGGAATGTGAAATAAGAAGAACAGGGAGAAAGTAGGAAGGAGGGTGAGATGAGAAGAATAGGGAGATGTATGGAAGACAGATAGACGAGACTGAAAAAAAGAGGGTAGAGAGGAGGGTTAAATAACTGGAGGGAATGTAGGGTTGCGGATGAGACGGATCTAGAGCGGGTAAGGTGGTGGACGAGATGGTTGAAAGTAGTAAGGATGGTGAGATGAGTGGAATAGGGTAACCACGTCTTATTGCAGGATAAGTAAGAGACGTAACACAAACATATTAAGGGCTCTCTTGCAGATTACATAATAATATAAAAGGTTACCCTCTAATTTTGTCTGCAGCTTGACGAACAATTTGCAAAAAAAAAAAAATCTGCCTGCACATAAACTCAAGATTCCCATCTACAAAGCTGACTTTGGTGGATTTGGAGAAATTGAGATCCATAGGAGTCTTGGCAATGGACATTTAAGCCTTAGGGTCAGTATATGGATTAACTATTGCAACTGACTTGCCTTCGACGAGAGTAACTTAAGGTTCTGAGCTCACTGTTAAGATTTCGAAGAGCGTGATTTGGCAGGAGATTAAATACTACCTATTATAATTGCAAGTGGTTGGTATGTGGTTGCACAAAACTACCAACACCGTTAATTACATTTCGTTGGTGGTTTTCTTTTTTTACTCACCCGTCCTCGAGCGAGCAAAAAGATTATGAAAGAGCTTCTTACAGATGATTATGGTAGACGAGAAAACAGAGAGCGTAAGAATTTTAATTTAAATATTAACGGAAGTAAAAGCAGCAGTAGAAGTGTTGTTAAGTCTAAACGCAGTCTCATAATTTATACAAGTCTATGTCCGTTTCCAATACATATTTCTTTCACCCACTTTTCACGCCATATTTGATGATGTTACTATAATTCTTAACACATTTAAAAGTGCTATTAAATTATCATGGAAAACTTGCAAAATAAGGCGCCATCATGACTCACGAACCATAATAACATGATTGCTCACATTCCAGTGTGTTAACCACTTGGCTGGTTGGCTGTAATGAGACTCATCCAACTTGGTATATTTCTGTACACAAAAGTAAGGTTAGAATGGGCCTCACTGTGATCACAAATGCAGTTGTGGTCACAGTCTATATTAACTCTATATAGAGAATAAAAATATACCAAGTTGGATTAATCTTATTAGAGCCAGCTGGCCAAGTG